AAACCCAGTCATAAGAAACAGCTTCCTAGGAGATAAGAGAGTAAGAAGCAAACTGCCTTTTCATGCCTAGAAGCCAGCTTCCCAATCGGTAGGCCTTCTCCTGTGCCGAGAAGGTGTACCGATATGGCAATTCCTCGACTTGAGCCTCACAAAAAACACACACCATCCAGGGCAAAGAGTACTAATATGGTGATCCTCCATGTTTCAGCCCCTCCAAACTCATCTCTGTATCTTTAGGGACCAGGATAACTTTCTCAGTCCACGAAAGAGTATTCAACTCCATGGTGAAGTTTACCACTAAAACATGCCTGAGTAGGTGACCCAGAATCAAACTGAAACACTGCACAGTTGTCTTCCAATGAAAAGACGTGTGCCCACCAGTGCTGCAGCTCACCCCTTTAACATGCAGAGCCAGAAAGCTCTTAGTGAACCAGCCAGTCCCGTGTCCTCCCTGCTCAGGAGGGACGACAGACTCGGGCAGACCAAGGAGCTTGCCCAAGCTCACTCATCTAAATGCTTGCAGTCCCTGGCCTCTCGGCTGTGCCTGGTCCTCATTCTGCTGCTGTCTAGCGATTTTCAGCTCTGGATAAGTCATTGTTCTCCCTAAACTCGTTTCTCTTCTGTAAATAGAGGCAGCTGTACCAGACATGATCTAAGAGGCATTGTGGTTTAAGGGTAGGAGCCCCAGTCAGACTCTGAAAATCCTGTCTCTGTTCACAATTTATTGCTGAACAATTATATTTAAACCTACTGTGCCTGCAAAATGGGAGTGAATCATAGTACCTGGTATATACCTCACAGGATTGCTATAAAAATTAAATTAGATGATCTATTTAAAGTGCTTGGCTGAGCATCATGAACACAATAAGGGCTCAATAAGTATTAGGTATTATCATCTGAAACCTTCTCCAGCTTTAAAGTTTTAGTACTCTAGGATGCTAACAGGGAATAAGGACTCCCCTAAGAGTTCTCCCTGTGAAGTTTGCAGTTAAAGCAAAACTCAAGACCAAGCTTGGTTCCGAAGACAGACAATGATTACTGGAGACTTGGAGAGAGATTTAAGAAATCTGGAGAAAAACAGGCAGAGATTCCAAGAGGAATCATTTAAGGAGAACTGTTCATGATTCCAAGGTCCTGCTAATGAGAAGAACCACCTGTGAAATATGCTCCCCAGCATGTCTAAAATACTTATGTCCTTTATCCCAGGAATCTCTTATGGAAAGAGTTTGGAGAACAATTACACGGTGGGTAGATGTGTCACTGTGGCATTACATCAGACAAGCTATAATGTACATACTCGGGTAGAGATGGCGTCCAACCCACTGGAGAACTGCAAAGTGGGAGTGAAACAGTGTAACAGGCTGTACAGACATTTGTGAGATGGAATGGACCCTCCCGCCAACTCACGGCCAGTTTTGCTTTTGTCAAGACTAACTCAAAGCCTCCAGGACTGGGCCAGGGAGCAAAGCCTTTAGGGTACCAGGCACCATGGCCCTCGACCATCCTCCTACTGCCTACAAGGTATCAAGTATTATTAAAGTAATTTAATAATCATCTAATCTTTACAGTGCTCCTATGAGGGATGTACCAGGTACTATGATTCACACCCACTTTGCAGCACAGGTGGTTTAAATAAATTGTTCAGCATTACATGGTGAGCAGAGACAGGGTTTGTACTCAGTTCAACTGTCGAGTTCCCAGTGTCATGCATTTGTTCGTGACAAAATGTCCAAGGACACACACAGGGTTGACTGTAGAAGTAAGAGGGCAAGGGGTCTTAAGAACTTTCCACCGAGTTTGTAAACATTCTACAGGGCAGGTAACAGCAAAATGTGCTAGGCCAGGGCATCTCAACGTCCACAGCACTGACCCTTGGCGAGTCCTTTGCAGTTGTGACACAGCCCTGGCCTCCACCCACTAGCTGCCAGCTGAGACAACCCAAGGTGCCAGTCATCCCCGGGAGCAAATCTGCTAATCTGACAACCACTGCCCCAGTCAATGGCTCATCCATGTCAAATATAAGTTATTCCCAAGTCCAGGTGGCCACGACTGCTCAGGGCTCCTGGGCTCTACGGTCCTGCGCTGGTTTGGAGACACACGTGTGAGAATGCCTTCTAATCATCAATGCCACTGAGGCTCCCTGGGTTAGCATCCAAGTGTCTCCTACTCCAGGATTTTTAGCCTTTTCTGTAGTATCTGGGGACCTGCTGGGGACCTGCCAGGAGTTTCTGTGCAACTCACATTCAAGGTCACTTCTGGAAAAGCAAATGACTTGTTTTTGGATAAAAATATCTCTTTTTTCCTACCACTTTAAAAATCAGAAGTGAAACTATTTTAAATCATGTTTAACTTAAATGTGTAGATGCCAAGACTCCCGGGCCTAGAGCACTTTGGTCCACCATCAGTACTGCAGAAAGTGTAAGCTCAGGTGCATGGGCCCCTCATGAACTTGCAACTACAGTGGTCTTATGATGGTTTCCTTTAAAAAAAAAAAATATCATAAAGTTATTCCTACGTGTCCTGAAGGCCAGGACACTCAATTTGTTGGTTTCCTTTTTTATTTTTTGATTTTTCTCTTGGCATGTGACACTTCTGACCTACAAGAGTAGACTACAGCGAGACACCCAAAAGCCTGATCAATAGAGTAGGGGTCTTCACACTTCATACCTGTGTATCCCCTTTAGGTGCAGTGAAATCCAGTTTCCCTCCCCTCTGCTCATTTGGGTTTAAGTTGTAGATGGACACAACATCTACTTTTATGTGGCACTGAGGATCAAACCCAGGGCCTCACGCATGCAAGGCAAGCACTCTCCCACTGAGCCACAAGCCCAGCCCCACTTTGCTCATTTGTAAGCTTGACATTTAAGTTCCTGGACGAACCTATTATTATAACTATGACTAGTAATGGAGAAATTCATAACAAAAACAGAGCATACCACTTTATAGTTATGAAATATTGGAAAGCTAAATATTCTTGGAAGAGCATTAATAGAAGGGCCTTTTTCTATTCACTCATAGGTCTATAATTATTAAGTGGCATTGCTGGAATAAGACAGGGTTGAGCAATTTAATTTCTATTTCTTTGCTTATGTTAATAAAGAGAAGGAAAAGAGAAAATGTATTCCAGCAGAGAAGATGGGGTGGTTGAGCTGTTATGCTATTGTTCTTTGAGCTCTTAAGTTACAGTCCCCAGATCTCAGAGTGGCCCACCATGGAAAACCAATTTTAAGGATCTCACCCCTGACAGTTTGATTAACTCCATCTTCAGGGGTAAGAGTGAAGGGTCTGGGCCGTCTCCACAGCAGCCAACATTCCAAGGGGCCCTCTGCTCCTCCCTGGAGGCGCTGCCCCCTAGGCCAGGTAATCGGGGGAGGGCGAGGTGGGAGGGGGCACCTGACCCAGGGAAGGCAGAGGAGAGCAGCGTCCAGGGTACTCCCAGGTAGAACCGTTTTCAGGAAGAGAACACTTGGGAGCTGAGGACCTAGACGCTATTTTGCTAACACTCTGCCCACCTGGGTACAGCTGCAAAGTCCCCATGTTCTCTAAGGACAGGCCCTAGTGTGACAGTGGCTAACTTAAATGACCTCAGAGAAATCCCTCCACCCCCAGACCACAGGACTATAAAAACTGCATATTGGAACCAAACCCTGATCCACTGAAAGTGAACACGGTATACTCTGTGCCTCCTGCTGGGGCTGATACAACTGGAGTACACAGGGACACTTGAAGTATCCAGGCCCCAAAAAATGAAGTCTGAATTAACCTAGCCCCAAGTCCAACTCCCAGCTAGAGGGACAGAGGGGACTGAGGCACAAATTATGAGAAAGTGGCCAAATTCAGAATGTGGAACGTTCTAGAACCAAATAACCCAGTTTCTTTAAGAAGTGACTAGTGTAGGAAAAAACAATGTTGAAGAAAAAGATTTAAAAGATAGAATTTTTGGGGGGCGGGGGGTGGATTGTGGGGATTGAACTCAGGGGCACTCGGCCATATCCCCAGCCCTATTTTGTATGTTTTTAGGGAAAAGGCCTCACTTTTGCTGAGGCTGGCTTTGAACTCGCAATGGTCCTATCTCGGCCTCCTGAGCCACTTGGATTACAAGCGTGCACCAATACACCTGGCAACACTTAAAAGATAATTCTAGAACATTCTTAGAAGACCCCTTAGAAAAGATGGAGGAGTATGAACTCAGAACATGCCTATAATCCCAGTGACTCGGGAGGCTGAGGAATATGCCAAGTTCAAGGGCAGCCTCAGCAACTTATGGAGACCCTGCCTCAAAGCAGAGTAAAAAAAAAAAGGCTTGAGGGGTGTGGCTCAGTGGTACAGCATCCCAGGGTTCAAACTCCAGAACCACCAAAAGCAAGAGCAAATTTGAATATTGCCTGGGTGTTAGATTATAATAAGGAATCACTGTTAATTTTGGCAGGTGTGGTAATGGCATGGCAATTACTTTTTTTTCCTAAGTCATTGAGACATGTGTATTGAATCTGCAGGTGAACTACATGATGCCGAGATTGCTTTTACAAAATACCCTAGCCTCCCCGAAGGCTGGAGGGCAGATAGAATGCGTTTAGCAAAGCCTGTTATCAAGGTTCAACTGATGGGCACCTGGGATGGATCCAGGATTCTCTCCACATTTTTTGCATAGTTAAAACAAGCCTGTTAAGGGAGGAGAGGAAGAGAATGTTTGATTAGTGCTAACTGTGTACCGGGCCAGGACTGTGCTAGGCCCTACTAAATGTCTTTGACAAATCCTGAGACAGCTTTCAAGCAAGGCTCCTTCACAGGCTAGAGGGGCAGGAGGGGCATCTGATGAGGGGGGAAATGCACATAGTTGGCGAGGACAGGGAGCCATTAGCACTTAGCAAACCCAGAGGTGCCTCTAGATCCCATGGGGAGAGACTGAGATGGTGCTGGATGGAGAAATGTCAGCGCGCACGCGCGCACACACACGCGCGCACACCTCGGTAGCCGTTTGCCCCAGAAGCGCCACTTACCCCTGCAGCGAAGCCGAGGCTTCCGTCCAAGATGCGTCTCTGAAAATTAAAGAGAAGTGTCTCAGTTTCCAAGGGACAATGAGATAACGTGTCCT